AGCTTGGCACTGTTGCATCATTTGCTGTTGTATTCAGGTGCATTCTGTGAATGGCTTTAGCCATTCCTCATACTAAGCTTTGACTTGTTTAAGATGCAGATTATTAGTTAAGCCACAGTGATTCACAAATACTATTAAGCCATATATGGTAAATTTCCAAACCAAGTGGCTGAATTCAAACATTATGCTAAGCCAGAATCAAACTATACTATAACTTAGCACACCATGTGACTAAGCATAGATTTGTTTATTTGTATCCTGCTTTATTATTTTTACAAATAACTCAAGTGGTGGACATATCTAATGCACATTTCTCCCGTTTGCCCCACAATATCCTCTGTGAGATGAATTGGGCTAAGAAAGAGAATGACTGACCTAAGGTCCCCCAGCAGACTTTAATGGCTAAGGCAGGACTAGAATTCATGGTCTCCCAGTTTCTAGCCTGATGCCTTAACCACTAGACTAAACTCATTCTCTCCATGAGATGATTGCTTTGAATATAATGCTCAGTTCATTTCTAAAATTGTTTTTATGTATCAGTATGTATAAGAGAAACGTCAGAACCCTTAATCTCTTAGTAAAATACATGTTTTATTTATTTATTTATTTATGAGACTTATATACCGCTTATATACCTTATATTCTAGGACATGGGAAGAACAGAAGGCAAAGCATGCTTTTCTGAGGTGGGCATTGCTGTTTCAAGCCCAACGCTAGTTTTACCTCCATCAACGAATCTAATCTAAAGGCAGTTCTTCCCTTGGTGGACTTGCTACCTTTTTGTCTACACTGTCCTCCTCACAGTGCAGTCTTTTTATTTCGGACCTACTGGTTATTTTTTTTTTTAATATATGTGTGTGTATGTGTATACATATATATACATATATATATATACATACATACATACATATATATATATATATATATATATATATATATATATATATATTTGTTGTCACAATGTGACAAATTTTTGTACAGTCAATTTTAAGGTCTCTTCCACCATTAGATCCAGTAGGTTACAACTGTTAATGTAACAATAGCTGCAATTTTTGTGCAGGACTGAGAAACACAGTGCATTATTTATTGTGTAATCATTGCTGCTAAATAACTACTGTCTGTATAGTTAAGAAACAACTGAATGCCTGAAAGAGTTGCAATGGGTTTACTGTATATGCTATGTGAATGCCTTGTTTCTCTTCATGAACTATTGCTGCAGTTTTATATCTTGTTTTTTCTTTAACTGCAATGTTGCCTGGAATGTAAACACAGCTTTCTTGACTGTAGTTACTATTTACTTTAATGCTCTCTAGTTCTTGGCCTGTACATTTCTTATTTAACATTAGATATGAAATACTTAGAATATTACCAAATACCTTTTTAAAGCACTTAGTAGTACAGATATCAATTCAACAAATGAAAAACTATCAGATTCCAGATCTCTTATTTTATCAGAAATGATAAACCATCTGTATGTGACACTTAACTATTATCTCCCTTCTCTAAGTTTTTCTAATGGACACTTATTTGTTAGAATATTTTTGATACGTGGTATTTCCCTAAACGTTCCAGTGATTCAAAGCAAACTCTGGGTGCAATGCATCCCAGCTCAGTTCTCTAATTGCCACTTGCTTCGGTGGCTGTTTTATGACCACAGCTTCATTGGAAAGCCACTAAAGAATGCAAGTTCACAATAAATAATCGATTAGTTTATTATACAGGCTTCATGGAGTATGAGAACTTAGAGGGTTTTAAAGGTTTTAGATGTTACCTGTTTATTGAAATTAAGACATCATATTACAGTACTACTAAGCTTATGTATCTCAGTGAGTATCATAAGTACCTCCTGGTGATAGGAACAGTATTTTTCAGCATTTGTGTACATCTTTTGGAACCTCTTTGTTTAGTGCATCTTCCAGAGGCTGTAAATCTTTATTAGTATATTTTGAAATGGTTATGTAAATCTTTGGCTGATATATCATGAAAAATATTCATAGATAACTTAATTTTTTTTCCTGATGTTCACTGTAAAACATTCAGGGGTCCTACCATTTCTGTTCAGGAAATCTTGTAATTGATTATTGTTATTTAACAGTATTAAGTGAAAGATTTTGTATGTTTCTTTAACTTTATTTGTGAATAGTAATTGTGGCATGTTTTGGAATGTTTTATTAATGTTTTATTATTATAATAGTAAAATTAATTTGGGAACTCTTTTCTGGAAAAGAAGACAAGTTTATGTGAAATGGTGATTATTGGACCACTGCTGCTTTTCAGCATTTGTAAACTGGTTTTACACTTAATGAAGCCCAGTAGAGCTAACCAACTGCTGTTTATTTCTAACAGATGGACCTGTATTAATGTTGTACTTTTAAAGTATAAATATTATATGGAAATCTTCAGTAGTGTTCAGATATTCTGTAGTATCCCACCATGCAGCTTTAAGAAACTTTTTTGCATTTCTCCCGCCTTCCGGAAGTCCTGAATCCCTCACCTTCCTGAAGCTTGCCAAAATCATTGAATTGAAGAAAGCTTTTCTGTCACTTTTCAGGAACAACAATAAATCCTATTTTTAAAACATGACTTTCCTTGAAGCTTGAAACTTTGCTACCCTGTATTATGTGTTTTTAAACTGAACAGCTGATCCAGTGAAATCCAGACAAAAAATAATTGGTATATGTAGTTTAGTTTTACTAAAGTAATCAGAGGACATATACAGACTTGTGTTTTCTATGTATGGTTGGAATACACTATTGTTGTCCTGGTTTGGAAACAATGTTTAAATCCAACTTTCCAGATTCAGCTAGAAAAATTCTGCTTGACAAATCAATAAGACATCTGTTGAATTGGGCATAGCAGGAATGGAGGGAGGAAAAAGGATTTTTAAACTCTTGAAATAACTCAGAAATTGCCTTTTATTCAGCAGCATTGTGGCTATTTCTCCTAATATATTTCAACAAAACATCATTACAGTTTAAGAGATTTGATCTATTTGCAGTTCTGATATACACGTCCATTTTTGAGTGGAACTCCATATGTTCCCTCTGCACAAAGGAGGAATGAAGATTCCATTTCCTTATTCTCCTTACAGCTCCTCACCACTTAACCCTAACTATTTAAAAAAAATCCCTTCATTCTCTCTCTCTCTCTCTCACACACACACACACACACACACTCACTCACTCACTCACTTTCTGTGTGAAAGCGGAGACATTGGCAACAATTTCTTCCACATTCCTCCAGCGACAGGAATCTTTGAATTCAGCCCTCAGAATTTAGTGCTTTCTTTTACTATAATTTCCAACACATAGGCATTAAATGTTAAATGCTAACAAATACAATAGGTGAACTACAAAACAGAAGTCTTCATAGCCAATAGAAAAAGAATTGAAATATTATACACAACATTATCAAATGTTTCATTTATTTTTAAGAATTGGTTGAAAATTTCTAATTATAAATATGAGTGTCTCACCAGCTGGACTCAATTTTGTTATGAGTAATGCTGTCGAAATGTATGCGATCTCCTCCCCCCAAGTGTTAAATATCCTCACAACAGCTCTGTGAGGAAGGTTTAAATAAATATCTTTAAGATATTCCAAGGTTTACATATGTAAAGTGTGAATTAAAATCATTAAAGAATTTTTCAGGTTTAAATGATATTTATGTTGGAAAGCAGGAATGTTTAATGCAGTGTTTTTTCTTCCTACCATCCTCTAGACCAGGGCTTTTCAACCTTTTCACCCATTCTACCACTTTTAGGATATGCCAACATCCGAGTACCACCAGTCACCTAGCAAGGTGTCAAAAACTTGATGACCAAAAAAAAAAAAAAGGAAAAAAGTGATAAAGTACAGGTAGTCCTTGACTTACAACAGTTCGTTCAGTGACTGTTCAAAGTTACAATGGCATTGAAAAAAGTTCCCCCCAAGCCACAGCTGAACAAGACGCCTGCCCGCCTGCCTTTCTGAGATTTTCATTGTTGTGAGCATTTCTGTTCAGGATTGGCAGCGGGGGTGGGGTGGGGTGGGGGGGTGTTTGGTTTTTATTCCCCCCGTCTGCTGGGTGGTTGCGGCAGGTTTTGGTCACTTCACATGACCCTGGGACACTGTGACCATCATAAATATGAATCAGTTGCCAAGCATCTGAATGAAAATCACAAGACCCTGGAGATGCTGCAACATTCCAGCTGATCGATGCTTCTGGGCTCAGCAGAAGTGCCAAGATCAGTGCTGCTTTCCAGTTCATTGGTGCTTCTTCAGGGCTCAGCAGAAGCACCAAGATCAGCGCCCAGCTCCAGCTGGAGCCTGGCGCTGAGCCCTGACAGCCTTGCAGCTCCAGCCATCTCTTGCTCAGGCTTGTGCGGTGCTGCCACCGGTTCAGCTCATTCTCCTCCCTCGCTACCACTTTTCTAGGATGGTCGCGTATTACCTGCCAGGTGCCAATGTACCACAGGTACCACTGGTTGAAAAGCCCTGCTCTAGACATGCTGGATTGCAAATTCCAGTATTCCTAACCAGTAATGCAATACCAGTTGAGAGTTGTACTTAGTTATCTGGGGCAAAATCTGGCTTAGTAGGTATTTTGTTCGTACCTTTAGTTAATTGTACTTCAGAAGGATTGCATGCAAATATGAGTATCTTCTGAAGTATCTCACTTGGTAGAGAAGATGTACAGTACATGTTAACAGTGGTGTCATTTAAAAGTTTTGGTTGGAAACTGTTGTGGGCAAATAAACATTTGGGTGTGTCTTGCAGGAGCAAATCTTATGGATTGGGCAACAGAAGGAGGATCATCACTTTTATTTATAATTAATTTTTATGTTTGAGAATAAGTTTCATTATTATCAAGAAAAAAGGAGAGTTCCAGCTTTCATGGAATGCAAATAACTATGTTAAACAACAACTACATTAATGCATAACAGTGTCTGTTCCTGTGTATCTGTGAATAATTTCTTCTTGACTGAAGCAGTTAGAATTTCACACAATTATCCAGTAAACTTGATTGCTTGGTATGCTTTATTTTTTACACAGCAAACACATAAAAACAATTGTAACTTTAAAGACTCAACAGGTAATTCACATTGTATGTGTTTGCTCCAGAAGCTATCTATTAAAATGCAGAAGTGCATTTCAGCCATGATGTTTATTTTTCTATTGTTGTAACTTCAGCATCTCACATTATAAGTATGCAAAAACATATAGAGAGAGCATTGCTGTTAACTGGCTTGCTAAATATTCAACTAAACAATTAAACCAATCTTTCTCAACCAGGGGCCTTATAATGCCTATATGTAGTATGCTAGCAAAGAATTATAGAAGCAATGGTCTGGCTTATCTGGTGGGTACTATTAGGAAAGGCTTACTAAGATTTCATTTTGTAGTAAAATTCCAACCAGTTCATTATGGACTAATAAAGGCACATGAGATTGAGACAGAGAAAGGGGTTAGATACAGCATTTAGAAAGACATCAAGCATCTATTAACATCAATCTACTATTCTTTAATTTGTATTTTAAGGAAATGAATTAAAGAAATATGGCTCTGAATATGTAGCTTATTATGGATGTACATTTTCTGGCTTTTACTGTATAAAGATTACAGTATATATTGATGACCTCACATTCTTACAGCTTCCTGATGGTTGGCAGAAAATCTCAGGGTCCCAATTATTACATCACCTGAAAGCTTCTGACATAAACTGTTCTTCAGCTTAAATTTCATCTCACTTCTGCATGTTATTATTCAAAGTAGCCAAATAATAGTGTTCTGCATGTGCTTCAAATGGGAAGAACACAAACCTACTTTTAATGTGAAAAAACCATAAATCAAAGGATAAAGTACTGCACTGTTAATGTTATTTATCTCCCCAAAACTATTCTTAGCCCATTTTAGGCAAAGTTTAGAACAGTTTTCTTTACATGATTTTAATGTGCATAAATCAATAACTTGATAATTTGTTTAAAATGACACAAAATATTGCTCTGTTCTTATGCTTTTCCATCTTTTTTAGCATGAAAATTGAATAATTCCAAAGGCTTCTAGTATGCCAATCTATTTTTATTATTTCTTTCCTGCCAAAATAGATGAGCTTTAAGTTCAGCTTTTGTTGCATAATCAGAAAAGGTGTATATGCTGTTTCGCTCTTAAAATTTTTGAAGTTACTTCATTAAGCTTAAATTTCAAAATGTAAGATTGTTACATTCGCTTCCAAATTATAATAGCTGTATACAGGTTGTACTCAACTTACGACCACAACTGAGCCCAACATTTCCTTTGCTAAGGTGAGAGTTGTTAGATGAGTTGTACCTTATTTTATGACCTTTTTGCCAGAGTTGTTAAGCAAATCACTACAGTTGTTAAGTGAATCATGCGGTCATTAAAGAAATCTGGCTTCTGCCTATTGATTTTGCTTGTCGGAAGCCAGCTTGAAAGGTTACAAATGGTGATCACGTCAGCCCAGGACAGACTAACTGTTAATGCCATTGCCAAGTGCCCAAATTTTGATCACATGACCATGGGGATGCCACAAAAACAGTCATAGGTCACTTTTTTCAGTGCCACTATAATTCTGAACGGTCACTAAATGAATGGTTGTAAGTTGAGAGCTACCTCTGAACCCTCTTTCATGTAGTGTAACTGTATTTGAAGTGAAGATAGGCTATATATTTCAGAAGTTTAAGAAAGGATGTTAGCAGTGTATGATACTCTTGAATCAGTATTTTGTATCAGCATAAAAGGACTGAGTTCCAAATATTCCCTGAAACATCTAACAGGATTCTGTGCATGAGATAGAACATTTTTGGCAGTGAAAATTTTTTATATACATAATATGTGGTAAATTGACACTTTCTAATGCATCCTTGCCAAGAAGGAGATAGGGAGCATATGATAGAAAATGTAACGGAATACTAATCATGTAAAAAGTCTGGGAAATCAGTGGGTTCGTCAAATAGCAGAAATTTGTTCTCTTGAAGAAGGAAAGTAAATTTTAGGAAACAATGTGAAGTGAAAATTAGTTGTAATGTATTAATTTTTGCTTCATAATTTTAATTTCAAAATGCACACGAAGTTGAGTTTCATAATCTAGTAAACCAAGGATTTGTCATTTTTGCCAAAGCTGGACAATATTTTGATTTTGAAAATATGACATAAATTTGAATTCTTTAATCTGAATGTGTGTTGTTTGAATATTATTATTGTCTTCATAAAGTATGCATATATCAGGTATTTTTCCAATTACAGCTAAGAGACAATACTCTGTTTCTCTACTGCAACCCATATTTATTCAGTTTTACTTGGTTTTTATTTCATCATCAGGGAACCAGTCATGATATTCTAGGAAGTGGCAAACTCTTTTCTGTTTTCAGAATTCTAGCCTATTGAAGAGATGAAGAATCTGGATAGTTTTTAATCACAATATTCAATATCAGGTTAGTACAAAGAGGTTTGTGGGGGAAGAGAGAAAAATCACTGAAAACCTATACTGGGTATTATGGCATTTATTTCCCAGTTATGGAGAGGTATCTGTCATCTTTTTTAGACTTTCATTTTTGTAAGCATTACTAAAATATTTTTTGAAAAATCAAATCTGTTGAAGTTTTAAAGCCTTGGTCCATGCACCACTGGAGACAATTTTTCTCCATCCCTGATAAGAAGCATGTGAGAATTTTACCTGTTCACAAAAATAAATTTTAGATTGACACCTCTTTTAACAATCAGCTTTATACACAAAGATAGTGGCACTGAATAAGGTTATTTCTTCCAATTTAAAAAATGCCCCTAAAATACACTGCAAGTATTTTAAAACCATATTCCTATTTCAGAAGAATTCAAGCACTAATGTCTAAATAGTGTTATATTCTTAACACACTGGCCAAAATATTATGGCCTCAGTTCAGGAAGTAAACAAAAATATTCTTTATATATTTAGAAAGCGCTTAATTCAAAATTACATGAATATACTGCACCACATGGCTGACCATAAGGGGAATACTGAAATACTAGGATTGGGAGAAAAGTGTTCAATACTTGGTTCTTTCCAATGTTTATCTTAATATTGGAAAATATATAAATCATTTATATAACATTATGCAAAAGAAGGCACAGCCGGTTATAGTTTATACAAGCATGATGCATAATACGCATAAGTACAGAAGTAAAACATTTCACATCCTTTACATATTGTTTAGAAATGTATTAAGAAAGATAACTTCATTAACAGTGTTCAACACTTGGAGAGCAGAATATAAAAATTATAAGTTGTTTTAATGCACAAAAGATTTCTTATACAAAAAAACCCCTCACTGTATAAAAATGCTAAATAAACACCATACAAGTAGGTCATCTGTGTAATGGAAAGTGCAAACCATAGTAAAAGAGTTTCATCATGTCCTCCTGGCGTTACCAGAAAAATGAAACCCATCAGAATGGCTGTGTCAAATCCAGTTTATTAGTGAGTCCCCAGTTTGCTGAGACATCAGGATTTATGAGCATTTGGAGAAAGGAGAACTGGAGACGAGGCCCCATCCAGGCTGGGGATTTGCATTGGGATGTGACCATTTAGCAGAGTTGGAAACTGTAAAAAGAGCAAAGGAAAATGTCACTGGTGCTCACATTATACCTATGTGTAAGCTCTCAAACATTGTTTTTAATGATACATGGAGACTGCTCATTGTGGCAGGTACAAGTAAAATAATTACTTTTTAAAAAATGCATCAGATCAGTTAAACACACTCATTTTGGATTGAATGAATGAATATAAGATGGGTCAGAAAAAAGACATAATATTTGTGGCAACCCATAGATTCTTACTGGGAGAAAAAACTAAGTTACATTTCCTTGTGATTTTTGAGTAAGCTAATACTTTTTCATTTTATTCTAAAATGAATCAGTAGCAATCTGAGGTTTGACAAATGTTTTTTTGTAAACAAAGTTAAAATAAATCCCAAAACCACAAGTCTGTATATAACAAAATGGGTTGGGAAAGAAGCACATGAATCTGTTAAGAATAAGGCCACCTCAATAAAGCCGATGAATAGTGTGCACATTGTTTTATTTTAGCATTCGGAATATGATTAAAAAAATCATAGAGATAATAAAATTGAAAAGAATTGCAATGCAACAATGTCTATGTTCTGCAAGACATTCTAATCTTCAAGACAATAATGAATGCCTAATAAAATTAAATAATCCCCATAAGGATTAATATTTTTTAATTTATTAAAATTTAATCAATTAATTTAATTTAAATTGCTTGTATATCACCCTAGGCCCATGATTTAGAACAGTTTAGAGCAGGGGTCCCCAATCCCCTGTCCATGGACCAGTACCAGGCTGTGGCATGCCAGCAACCGGTCCGCACAAACAAGCAAAACCCCATCTGCCGGATGCAGGCAGCACACAAAACCACATCCCCTCCAGTCCTTCTCCATGTAACTAGTCCCTGATGCCCAAAAGGTTGGGGACCTCTGGTTTAGAGCATACAAACAGACAACCAAATACACTTCAAAAATACTGTAGATGCTCAGGTCACTGCTCATTAAAAGCCCAAATAAGATTTTTTTCATAGATTTCCAGAAGGCCATCAAGAAAAGGACCAAGAACAAAATTGGAGGCAAGATATTCCAGTGATTTAAGTCTATTATAGACAAAGCTTGTCCCCCTCAACTCAAAGGGATGGAACTTTAATATCTTTCTCAATGACTTCAAAGGTTAGGAAAAATCATTTTGAAAAAGACTACCACAAATACCCAATGCTATACCATGTAAGACAGGGATGTCAAACAGGCAGTCTGCCGGCCGGATGTGTCACACACAAGCTACATCCATCCCAGCTCCGCAAAGGCAAAAAATGTCACAATACGTCACATGACACGATCAAGTTTGACACCCATGATGTAAGGCTTTCCAGATCATGACCAACAGTTTAAACTGGGCTTAGAAGCTTTTATGCAACCAACAGAGCAGTTTAAGAATAAATATTAAGTTGTACTTGCCTACCAGCAGCTAAATCATTGCATTCTTTCCCTGTTACTTTGAGTCAATTTCAAAAGCACCTCCACATAGAGCACTTTACAGAACTGTTGTCTACAACAGCTACTTGGTCCAGTAAGGACTATAACTAAGGCACATCAACCAGAACTAAGCAAAAGTTGTAGTCTTCACTTGCTCTAGCAAGAACCATAGGACAACCCACACACTCCCACCAAGTCATGGGCATTTTCTTCCAGTGGAAGAACAACTCTGTCCAGATCGATCATGGGAACTAAAGTCAGCATGTTTCTGAACAAACAGTAACTCTAAAATGTAACTTGAATTTGGCTTTGGAACATATCTTCAAAAAGGATGCAAAAGATCACATAATAGCTAAGATAACTCTTTAAGATGACTAGCACTGATGATGTGATGATGTTTGGGTAATGAAATGTTTGCAAGAAAACAAGCTCAGAGAGCACCAAGGACCCCTCACATCAATCCTGAGCTACAAATATTCTTTATTATTAAGATAACTCTGTATTTTGTGTCCCTTTTTTAATGCCCTTATTCTGATAAACCAAAGCATGATAGTTTAATGCAAAGTCCCTGTGGCTGTTCTCTTGGCAGGGTTCAAAGTTCCCAGCCCAAAATACTATTTGAAATCTTGGAACTGACAAATGGACTGATTTTGGTTTCTATGCTGCGGCAACACCCATAAGCTGTGAGCAGCTGAGAATTAGAGTCTCCCAGATGCTCCCAGATTGAAGGTGACGTAAATTAAAGCCTAACTTGTAAATTCCTGGTTATTAGTTAACATTCTTGTGTCTTCAGGTGCTCATTTGCTACACTTTACAAGGTGTAACATTCAGTTTCATACTTGTTTGCAGTATAAAGCAGCACAAGCCATAATTTACAGCTTTGACTTTTTCTGTATTGTACAGAAAGACTACAGTAACATGAACAAGGAAATTGTTGTTTTTTTTACAGAAAGTGCTCCTATAACTTTTAAAATATATATATCCAATTTATTCCTGTTGTATAAATTGCTCATTTTGCCATTATATTATGGTAAAATGTAAATGGAAATCTACAGGTAGAAAAAATATTTAAAAAGCAATACAGAGAACATTTGTCAGATTGCCATAGGGTTAGTGTAATAGTTTTATTATTAAAAAATCATTGCAGAAATAGAACAGACAGTGTAGAACATACAGTGAACAGCTGCCATTTTTACATAGGGGAAAACAGATTATTAAATACAGCTATTCTGAATTATCACTTTACTCAAGATGTAAATGCTTTTCTATTTCAGTTCCTCAATATCTAAGCATGACGTTTGTATTACAGAAGAAGCAGAGGTTGCATCATAACTGCAGTCTAACTAGATCACTAATACACCCCTTTCTTATCCAATAAAACTGGGGACACTGTTGAATACTTATCACATCCCTTTTCTGTAACAAATATCATCTTTAGAATATTTTTGGCTTCTCCAGTGGCTCTTGCTGTTCTGATTTTCTGTCCTATTTTAAAAGCAAGGAGTGAGCTACAGAGTATAAAAATAAATGGTCAGACACAATTTTAATTCATCCACACATATAACCCACAGATTATATACTACAGTGTTCCATAGGCAGAAGTTTCACTTCTGGAAATACAGGGAATATGGCTGAAGGAGTGCATCTCTAGCAACTCATTTAAAAGACACTCCCAAATTCCTTTTACAAACAAAATAAAGGACTCTGATTCATTGTAGAGATTTGCCCAGTAAGTTGGAGCTTACTTGCTGAGCCAACTGACAATTTTGTAAATTGCTACAATTTCTCTATCCCTTGACACATCCAAGCTTTGTATTTGACATGCTATGTCAGAGAGTTGGCTCCTTAAAAGAGCTCCTTTTCCTTTTGTGCCCTCCCAGATACGAAGGATTCTACAGGGTTTCTCTCAAGTCATTTACTGCAGCTATAAGGTAAATACTAAGGAAACAATTAAGTGCATGAATTTAAATGGAGAACTGAGTTTAAGGTGTTGATGAATTTCAACTGTATTTTCTTGCTATTATTTCCACCTTTGTTGCTTGGTAAACTGCAGCTCTGAACAAGTCTCTCATTATCCTAATGACACAACAAACTTTTACATCCAGAATGAGTTATAATTACAATCTGCAGAGGCTCTGCCAATTAACCTGAGCCATTGATGTTAGTTGGCTGCAGCAAAATCACCTCTACTTACTATGCTGGGAAACGAAAGTAGTTTTACCTGTACATCAGCTCAAAAGAAATGGATTCAGCAGGTAGTATCTGTGACAAAATAATATGTCTTTGTTTTTTGAAACAACACTATACATTTTTGAGAAGAGCTTCAGGGATAAAGTTGAGGGAGCAGATGACAGGGGAAGTGATACCATTTGTCACTTCCCTTGATAGTTTCTTGGCTACTTTTGAAAAGCCAAGCATGTAGAGTGAGCAAAGCAAGTTCTAAGGGTGGTAGAAACTTGGATCTCCTTTTCGTCCTTCATCGGGGTGGATGAATTTACATTTCAGGGCACTTACCCACTGCTAATTAAATAAGGCTATCTTGGTAGTTTATACTATTATTTCAATTCTTCAAGCTTTGTATGAAGATGGGCGGGGAGGCTTAAAATTCTCCTGTAATCGTATTTCATTTTTGAAAATACTGATTTAAAAGGAGAGGTCTGATTTTCCCTTTGTTTCTTTCCAGCTCTGTGTTCAGAGACAAAAAAACCGTAAAAGAAACAAGCTACTTCTGCTAAAGCTTTGGTATCTCAGTCCAAAAAAGCTTCTTCTCAATTGTTATAAGAAACAAAGTTCATGACCAACTAACTTGTTTTTTTATTGAATCCAATGAATTTCTTAGAGCCTTGGTTGCCATAATAGTTAATTCAGACAACAGGTCTCCAGAATAACTATTAATTCCTGCGTACTGGTATCATATGATAAAAGAAGCCTTGAACAAATGGGCAACTGTGTTAGTGAATCACAGCTGCCACAAGCTAAGACACTGTCACTGCTCTCTCCGTCACTTCTGCCCTATCCTTCCATCAGTCTTATCTGCAGGGGGCAGTAAAAAAAAATCAAGATGGCAGCCGTGGAAGTGCAGTTAAAATGCCTCTCTACATTGTATGCACACAAGGGAATGAACTTGCTCTTGCAAGCACCATCTTGACTCTTTTGATCACCCCTGCAGATGGCACTATTCTCCATTAAGTGTCTTATCCCTATTCAGACAATGTAATTGAGTGGGCAAGTTTATGGTCTTTGCACTCTGGTGAGTACAATCACCTACCAGAGTAAATCACATTTTATTTTAGTTCAGTTAAATCTCTATGAACTCATTCACATATCATATTGACACGGCTGTGACCTTGGCCTTTCTTGCAACCATACAATAGCCATTTGCTTGCTATAACACAGATATGTCAAAAACAAGGCCCAGGGGCCAGATGCAGTCCGCGAAGTGGTTTCATGTGGCCCGTGAAGCCATCCTGGAAACAGTGAGGGAATGGCCCCCATTGCCTTGGCCCTGGCCCAGGCCAGCTGGGAGCCAATGTACAATTTTGTGGTGGCCATCTATATTTTTTTTTATTGAGAATTTTTAAAGTTTTACAATAAAATACTCCCCCCTCCCTCCCACCCCATCACCCTCCCCCCTCCTTCCCAGAGCCGAATACAGGGTTAAAAACAACAAAAAACATACAACTTAAATGAACATCAAACAATTATACATACATCCAAAAAACAAAACTTTAAATACTTTAACTCCAGTACATAAAAGCAAAGATTCTAACCATTACTCTTAAACATAGATTATTCAAAAGCTAAGTAATACTTTCTAATCTCATATTTATTCTGTATAAAATTCACCCATCTTTTCCACACCAAAATATATTTCTCTTGCGATTGATCTTTCAGATAAGCCGAAATTTTTGCCATTTCAGATAAATAAGAAACTTTAAGAAACCATTCTTCTAAAGTAGGCAAAGAGTCCTTCTTCCAATATTGCCCAATCAGCAACCTTGCCGCTGTAATTAAATTCAACATTAGAATAATTTCTTTATCAGGTGGCTATCTATATTGAAATGCATTCAGTCTTAGCTCCACAAGGCTGTCTGGAAACGGTGAGGAACCAGCCCCTGCTGTGTCGGCCCCGCCCCCTGGGTACATGCTGGGGAGGTGTCACCCTTTGTGAGGAATAAAGAAATGCACCATCGCCTGGAAGTGGCCAGCAAATGGCCCTCACCTACTTCACATATCTGGCTTGATGGGCTCCGGGGGAGGGGTTTCAGCAGGCAGTGAGGTTCCTCCAATGGACCATGCCTTGGCACTTGCCCCAATCCCACCCCCTTCTGCCAGAGATCCTCAGATCTGTCCCACTCCTGACCAGGCCCCCACAGGCACCCTTGATGCGAACGATGTAGAGCTGGCCATGCCCACCCAATAGGCCACACCCACTCCATCCACACCCATCCAGTAGGCCACACCCGCCCAGTAGGCCACACACCCCCAAGGGCAACCGCAATGCTGATGTGGTGCTCAATGAAATTGAGTTTGACACTCCTGCTATAACAGATCCAGAACCCCTTGATCACTTTTAGGAACCACCTATGGCAGCTGTTAGTCACTGCTATGTTTTTTGTTTTCCTCTTGTCAGGCAAGTACACCCAAGAGGGCAAATTCATATGCTGATACAGTTTTACACTGATACTTTTCTCCTTTTTGATAGAGATTAAAAGAGCATGCCTTCGCCCATCTAGCTGTCATATCCTTGAAACTGATAGTAGTTTTTCTAATACAATGTTCAATGCCTATTGAATAAAGATTTCAGTTTCAGATAAGGCATACTAACCTTCTGAGCAATCATCAAAATTCTTTGTGGTCTTTTTTATAGATCTCATTATATATGTACTCAATAGACAGACTTGCCAACAATTTTTTTTATCTCATTTACAATGAAATATGGCAGCTGATGTTTTATCAGGAAAGTACTCTGATGTGTACACTATACTATCCGCAGATTAGCTCCTAATTCATTTACCAGCAATATAATGAACATTTTTTGGACCAGAACCATTTTTACCGGAACACTGATGTCCTTCTCTCCTGGTTTCAGAGAAGCTGTGTATGTTTATCCAAGCATAATCACAGTTTATAATATGTCTCACCCTAACCTGAAGCTCTTGTTTCTTGAGCAAAGGTGTAACTGTTACATATTTCCTATATCTGTTTTTTGTTCCCAATGGCAAAGATTAATCTGAGACAACATGCACCAACTTACCTGGAATAAGGTGTTTGGTCCCTGCAGTCTGGCAGGACTCAATGGAGCAATAGGACTGAGACTGCTCCAAAAGTGAATGCTAGAAAGCAGTGGACTTGGGGTCAACAGTAATCCATTTGGAGTCTACAAGACAAAACACACTAGCTTAGTCATCTATTGATAAATATTGCTATAGGGAGGCTGATATGCCATTAATTTTCTCACTTCTATCATAGCTTTTTCAGTATTGCTTACATTCTGTTTTCTAATGTACATTTTGAATGGGATAGGTAGAGTCATTATTCTAATGTACTGTGTTTTCTTAGTATCAGTGCATCAGTTCTAATGGAATACTGTCTAGTGTTTCTGTGGAACATGACTGATGAAGGTATAGCTCAGTGGTGGCGAACCTATGGCACATGTGCCAGAGGAGGCACTCAGAGCCCTCTCTGTGGGCACACACGCCGTCACCCCAGCCCCGCCTCCCCCGTGGCCCCTCCTCACCAGCAGCCCCCCTGGAGGAGAATCCCCCCAAGCAGCGCAGCCATGGCAGCCAGACAGCGGGGACAAGACACTGCACTCGCGCCCCATCACACAGATGATGCTGCAGGGCGTGGGTGGAGTGCGTGGCTGCCATGGTGCTGCTAGGCTGCCTGGGCGATCTGCAGCAGGCCTTGGAGGTGGTGGTGGCCCTGTGGGAGGACAGGGTGGGGGCAGAACAGGGATGGGCTGTGGGCAGGGATGAAGTGGGGGTGGGCAGGGGGCAGGGCCCATTTTGGGGCACTCAGTCTCTAAAAGGCTTGCCATCACTGGTATAGCTAGATTCAAAACAGCACTCTTTCAATCATAAAACAGCTATTTTATACCGCACTCCAGATTATTGAAGTCATCCAAATTTAACTACTATTTATTCTATAATATACATTGGAAACAGCTACCCATTGTTCCTCTTTAATTCCCTGCGCCAGAGTATATCAATAACCTTGAAAATGTGGGTTGTGTTCATAAAGTTGTTAAATAAATTCCCAGCTTGTTTTCTCTTCTCTACAATGTTTGATTTTATGCATTAGGTAGATCATATTCACACTATGCCACAAGTTGGTGAATGCACACATGTACTGGTTTTACCTCACTCCTCCACAGACCACTTTTTAACTGGTGTCTCAGACATAAGTTATTTAAACTCAAAAGTGACTTCCAACCTGAATCATCTTCACTTGAAGGTTACAGTATATTTGAGGTTTGTGGTAAATTAGAGAATCCAGATAAGAAATTCAAGATGTAAACAACATGGTAACCCTGATTTTAGACAAGCCTTCTGAGTTTGGATTAATTTATAGTGTTTATAACTATTTTTATACATTAAATATGGGGTGACGGTTGGACTAGTCACCAAAAGAATGAGGTTCCCACCATCAGCTATGGTAGTGGCACCTCAACTGTAGAGCACATAAGACAGATAAAGGCTGATTCCTATTTTTCTCTGATTCATCACTCAATAAAGAGTATGATGGGTCTTCAAGCTTTTATTGCTATATAATATTTTGTTCTCAAAAATGTAATGCTAATTTCAAATTTTATTGAATAATCTTACCTACTTTTTTTGTTTCAATGTAAGTTTCAATTATTTTTGTTTCCATTATTGTTGGAACCTGGCAGGCAAATGTTGGGATGTAATCAAGCAAATACATTCATCCATTAGTTGAGCGTTTGAAAGTCAACCTTATATATACCTATCCAAAATATGTCCTATTAAGTTCAGTATGGCTTATCGCAAACAGTTGGACAGAGGTGTCAAACTTCAGTCCAACTCAGCCTGTATGGATCTTCTTCTATTTGTTAAGTGCTATTTTCAACAGAATGACTCAAAAAAAAAAAAAAAAAAAGCTGAGATTTCTCTTGCAAACAACCCACAGCTTTGAAAGCAACTGTCAGGTCATTTATTTTTACAAGAACTGCAAACTCTCAGTCTTTTGTACCTAAAATAACCATGTTCCCTTTTTTAGTACCATAGAGTGAATTGATTATTGATCAGTATTAAACTCTTCTATTGAAGCTTTTAGCATTGCCAGAACTTAGTTCTGAAGTGGCTAATCAGCAAAATGTCTAATTCCTTATGTTGTCCATAGCACTTGAAGAGCCTTTAAACCAAAAAAACGCCAATACAGAATATCAGAACTCCAGTCTAATCATTAAGAGGGTTAATCCTGAAAGAGGGATTCCTACAATATTTGAAATTTTCACATTTTCCATGAGGTCAGTTTATGTATTATTAATACTTGGTAAAATTAGAAAATCTATATAAAATTGACAGGGATTTCAAGGGACAGTTCTCAAGGTTTCAAAATATAAAGTGATTCTCAGAACAAGATCTGGTTCCTATATGAATTGGTTGAAGCAATCACATCAAAAGGAGAAGTATCAAGAAGTGCAGAAACAAGACCAAGTTGAAATTCACCAAGCTTTGTTGGGAATTATGAAGCTGTATGGGAATTGTACCACTTGGATTCTTCGTACGGAATGAGGTACCTTGCCTTGATGTTTATGAAATATTATCCTTAACTGTACAGTTAGAATTTGAGTTGACCATATTGAATTTGAATTGACTCATATAATTACATATGAGTTTTTAATCCAGTATGTAAACAGTGAAAGTTGCAAACTTGTACTTATTTCTATATATTTTGAGGTTCTGGAAAAATAAAAATGACAACCAGCGCTGGAGGAGTTGTAAATACTGCCTGTCTGACACTTGTCCTGATATTTTTGAAAAGCTGGTTATATTAAAAACCAATGAGACTGGAGGTGCTTACATTTTTTATAATCTTTTCTTGAATTTTACAGTGTTTCTTCATTTTCTGCATACCTTTGATATCAATGCCTTTCTTCCTTCCAGAATTATAAGTCCCAAATTATATTTGCCATGATACAGAACCTCTGAAATGACTTTACATCAGTTTTGTATTGAGGGTTCTGAAAGTGCCCTCATGCAGTATGCCTGCTGACTAATATTTATCCAGGGAGAACTGATCAAAAATAGGATCTTTGTGCTGCTTTCTTTCCTCTGTTCTGTTAAGATATGCTGGCTAAATATACCTTAACAGAAGGGGAGAAAAAAGTTGCACATGCATCCTATTTTTGATCAGTTCTGTGTGGGTAAATATCAATCAGCAAGTGCAATATAATAAGATTGTCAAAAAATTCTTATTATGTCAGAAAACAACCAATAAGCTATAATCCGATATATTTGTGTGTGCCACTAAGTCAGTATTGAGTTCTGATGACTGCTTGGGCAAGTCCCTGCAGTTTTTTTGTCAAGATTTCAGAAGTGGTTTGCCATTGCCTCTTTCCTAGGGCTAAGAGAAAGTCACTAGCCAAGGTCACTCAACTGGGCTTTGTGCTTAAGGCAGAACTGGAACTCATGATCTCTTTCTAACATGGTGCCTTAACCCCCTCACCAAACTGGCTCTCTATAGTCAGATATAGATATAGATAGATAGAAATGTGTGATAATATCAGTGTGTTTTTATTCATTCACTTCCTCTTATCCACTGGAAATTACTATGGGGCAGGGTCCACATTACCACCTAGAGTTTGAAGAAAAAGCATCTATGGGAAAAGCCAGATGACTGCAATAAAGTGATCTCCAGTCTTTGTACTGTCAGAAAAATATGCTATCCTCATTTACCCAAGCCCTATTCTACTGAAATAAGAAGGATGGTAACTTGGGTTATCTTTACCATTTTAATATTAGACAAATTAAAGAAAGTGACTGCAAAATTATGAATGTTCTCCCCCTTCACTTTTCCTCTCTCCATGTATTGACTGCCAGTAGGAAAACAACTACTAATCACTCTCCCTGATGTGGGGGGGGGGGTCAGACAAGTGTAGAAAATGATTGGAACAATTTGCTTAATCACCCATCAATTTGTTGAACAAACCAACTGAAGGCACAGAAGAGTTCCACAAATGCCACCCATGTTCAGCATTCCAAAAGGATTAAACTTGAGTAGAAAGTAATCAGGCTGATAGGGATACATGGTGGGAGAGTATCAGTAATGAATGAGACCTACCCTCAACTGAAAGGGAATGGAAGCGGTGGTGGCAAAGAGCTACAGCCAACAGTACCAAGAAGTAGCCCACTAAGTACACAAGGCAACAATATGCATTCCTCCCTCAGAAACCAAAACAAACAAAACAAAAAAATAGAATCAGTAAAAAGTACAATCATGCAAATCAGTAAAAGTAGTGGAAAAAACTTCAGTGTACTCGTTAATAAGAATGCACAGTCCAGTTCTTTAAGCAGGAGGATAATGCTCATTCCAAAGAGTGCTAAGCCAAAGCAAATAAGGAGCAGCATTAGATATTGGAAAGTTCAAGGCAGGCATAATGGTAGTAAGCTCCAGTCTCTTTTTTCTAGCTCATATCAAAATGGATGTAGCTGGCAATGGCCAGCAACTGGAGGAAAGGCAGTGTGGTATGCCTTCAGCAGCCTAAAGTGGTCAGTTGTAGCTGTCAGATCCTAGCCTCTAACTACACTATCAATGAAGCATGCTAAACTGTATTCATGGCAAAAACTGAGTTGGATGAAGAGGGAAAGTGCTACTTTAAAACTGAAACAGATGATTTAAGTGATTTCAGGTACAACCTGAAAAATGAGACAAAGGTAACATAAGGAAGGCATGTCTTAACAACAGTTACTGATGCATATACGTTATCATGTTAAGGGATGTTGACTTAAGTACAGCAGCTGGGGGAGTTGCCTTCAGTGATCAAGATTTCTAAAGCCTTCCTATGTCTTCCTATGTTAAAAGTAAGCAAATATTATTGCTAGTTTTATGTGAATTAAACGTTGTTTACTTCTGGCTCTAATACATCCATTCTATCTCTTTTCCTGATGTTATATGGCATTTCTCTGCATCCTTATCATTTTCCCATCCTCTCATTCCCTTGACTGCAATTAACAAATAATATATTATTGGAGAAGCAAAGAAAGAACAATCCCATTTCCACCTTAATCCAAAACAGTACTGTTTGCTGCAATGGCCTATTTATTCATGGTTTTGATAAAGTGAAATTCAGAATGGTTTTTAATTAAGTGAGGTAAATTGAGAAAACCATTTAGGCTCATAGCCACTAAAATT